TTAATTTCAAGAAAGGGGAAAAAAGCGAGGTTATTGAGGGAACCACTGTTAATAGCTATTCCGATGTCAAGTGGTCACAGGACCTAAATTTTCTCATGGACGTTCTACAACATGTAACTACAAACGGATAAAAAGCGCAATGTGTCTTTTGCTAATACGTTTTAAAATGATCATTTTGGCATAAGAATAATAAAACACTTCAGAATGTGGTGTAATCAGATACTAATTAACTTCCACATAATGGAATCTGGCCATGATTATTTTCTTGTACCATCATCACCCCAAAATGGTTCATTAATTGCTTATTAAGTGATTAACAATTTGAAATTAATTTAACAGCTTTAATCAAAAGCTCAATAACTTAGAAACAAGTATAAGGAATGTAAACGTGAAGCTGCACTTAAACAGGAAAAGTGCTGTTTAACTGTTACAGAATGTCTTTATTTTAAAACTATATAACAAGCCTTTAATTAATAATAAATAAATAAAAATTGCACGTCTGCCTCAGAGGACTGAGTTTTTGCTGGTTGCAAAAAGTTTTAGCACCCATAAGTGTGTTAGGATAATTGAAAAGATAGTAACATATGAATAATTATATATATTTATTTATATATTTATATTTATATATTTATTTATTTATATATTTACATATAAAAAATAATTACACATGTGTGTATAATATAATGTATTTTTATGTTATTCGGTTTTAGGGTAGAAACAGAACTGTACCACGACCGCGTGTGTGGAAAAGCACTGCGCTCACCGCCTACTTCCTGTATGGAGGAGTTCCGCCGCCATCTTTGGAACCCAGCGATTTACACCCCCCACACACACACACACCCGTATTCCGTTTAGCCCCTCCTACTTATGGATCGTCTCCTTTAGATCTATCCCCATGCTATGATTTGATTGGTCGTTAATTCTTGGAATACGTGCCAGTACAAGCTCTTAGAGCCAATTGTATACCAAGAGGCGTGGCTTTATGGAATACGGGTGCGGAATAAAAAAAAAAAAAAAGATGCGTTAGCTACCGGTAGAGCGGGAAGCCCGGCTGCTGTGGTGCTGCTCCGCTAGGAACCACCGACTGAATCAGACAGACTCGCCCACCTCCGAGCCTTTCTTTCCCCCCCTCTCTTCGCTGTCACGCACTGCCCGAGCACCATGGACCGAGATCACTTTGTATACCAGGCGAAACTCGCCGAACAAGCAGAGCGATACGACGGTAAGTGCGAGTGCTGTTTGCGGCGCGAGGCTTGTGCAGCGCGCGCGCTGCTTACTCCACACGTTCTCCGGTTAGCCCGTTAGCTCCCCCACAGGCCGCTATCTGGAGTTCCGGGGTGAATGCATGGACGCTCTGTGTGAGTCAGGAATGTGGCGTGAACAACTCCAGCGACTCCGTTTCATACGGTTTATGCAGAGAACACGACCGTATGAGTCTTTAATCGAGAAGGAGCGACTCTTATTAAGCGGTTATGATGAATGGGATGGTAGGGGGAGTAGTGCTAGCTGTATCGCTGCTTCATCGAGGCCTTACTCACTCTCTCTCTCACACTATATATATATATATATATTTGTTTGGAATAAGCGCACATTTGAACACCGCAACCGTTCAAAAATACTACAATTTTTAAACAGCTCCAGGTGTTCGTGAACGCGCCTCGTCCCTTTGACACGCCGAGATTAGATGAATGATTCATTTCCAGGCGAACAGCATGCTAGCTATGTCACCGAGTCACGTTGTTTACAAGAAGGCTTATTACCGGTTGACTTATTTATTTACTTATTTATTTTTGGCTTTAGATTCATTACGTATTAATAAAAGTATACCGTCCTGCCTTTTCATTCGTTACGGTTCACTCGCACTGCATTGGGACTCGCAGAAAAGCGCGTGATAATCTGTCGTAGCTTTAAATGGCTAACTCGTCTGATTATTTATTTAATTAATTAATAATTAATATTTCATAGATTTGTCCTCCTTCTAATTAGACATGCACGAGACTGTGAGTTCGGCGCAATCATGCGACGCAATCTAGCGTTATTGTTTAACTAGCCGTCCGTGCTGCGTTCACTACTCCTAAACCCAGCGTCGTATTGAGCAGATGAAGCGGGATTAGTAAAAGGGTCGTTTCTAAGACGTGGCACGGGTTTGGTGGAAGAACTAGCTGTAGGAATTGGAACATCGCTGGCTGATGAGCTATTTCTGTCACAGACTGCGGAGAAATGGTTTTCCATGTCAGTCAAAACGTGGAGGTTGCTTTATAAACACGCGTCCTGTATGCTTTAGGAGTGAACAGCATCAGGGTAGAGACTGGCCTAAAACCCTGAATTAAAGGAGAAGTCGACCTTTATACACACACACACACACAGCAAATCTGTTTACGAATAATTTTACGGATTGTCCTGTGGTTAGTAGTCCTAATTTGTTGGTTGGTGCCGTTTAAACTTGAGCTGTTACAGCATTCATTATTAAGATTAGTATTCGAGTTGTTCAGGGTTGACTTTTCTTTTAGTTTCCTTTGACCCTCTGTGTTGCCATGTGGCAACAATTAACTCATCTCGACTACTACTTTCATATATAACTAGATATATATTTCATAGGTTTGTTATCATAACAAACAAACAAAAAAACCTTCAGTCCAGCACCAGAAGGTAGCAGAGAGTTGGATTGGTCCCTGAGAGCATCTGATAATGAGTCTTTATTGGTCACATGTACGGTAGAGCACAGTGAAATTGTTTTCTTCGCATACCCCAGCCTGTCAGGAAGCTTGGGGTCAGAGCGCAGGGTCAGCCCCAGCCGTGATACAGCACCCCCTGGAGCAGAGAGGGTTAAGGGCCTTGCTCAAGGGCCCAACAGAACCCCTGACCTTCCGATCAGTAACCCAGAACCTTAACCGCTAAGCCACCACTGCCCATTAGGGTAAAAAAAACACCCTGCAGTCCAGCACCAGAAGGTAGCAGAGAGTTGGTTTGGTCCCTGAGAGTCTGATTACGATTGTTAGTACGTCGGATGTTCGATTCGAAACGAAACAATAACACGTTCCCGATTGAGTCGAACCATAACTAAGCACGTAGGTTACTATGCTCCATTACTTTTCTCGTCCAGGCAATGTGCGCGTCTAACTGGGATGTATGCATGGAGTTAAAAGTATAGTGCACTATATACTGGATAGTGATTCAGTCACAATGGAAGGCCGATCCGTATCGATCTGTAGAAGTATCGGCACCCTAGGCTTTGCTTCCTTTCACCGTTACTTCAGTGGTCAACTTTCTACCGCTCAGTTAGTTGGCTGTGTTTAATGAGTACTGGATTAGCTGACTAGTTGTTAGTCATCAACTACTTCTCGTTTCTCAGGTACTCCAGGGTTCTGATGGTTCTGGATTCTGATGCTTAAACTGATTCTGCATTCTGATGCATGATGCGGGGACTTCTGCTCTAAATTAAAGGTGGAGCCGCTGGTGCAAGTTGGGTCACTTTAGGATATCTAGGGCACTGAAGAGAAAGTGGTGTGATTAGAGGTTGTACAGAAGAGATGCTAAGAACAGATTGCTGATGAGAATTACATGCTTGTATTATTTATATTAAATTGATAGAAAAGTTTGACCTTGATCTAGAATGATTTAGTAGTAGTCTTTCTATAAAGTATTTTTGGTGTAGCCCAGTTTTTAGGGGTCTGTGTCTGGTCTGACCTGTTCAGCAGGTATCTATGTACCAGTATGTAAATCAAACCCTTCCTTCTGGTTTTTGAACCATTAATTTGTTTCATTAGTTTAACATTCACTTTCTTCTTCTTCAGTATACATGATTGTGATATTGCAGGAGGATCGTTGTATAAGTGAGTTCTATTCAAGTCATTAAATGTAAAGTCAGATCGTCACGTGGTTTTGTAGCGACTTCCATGTTTTCAGTGCCTCGCCTTACGCTGCGTTTCATCTCAACACGACTACCCTCTGCCAAGTCGGCAAGTTTCTGCTGTTCAGCTCTAGAGTCAGTCGACTAATGAGCGTTTATTCACTCGAGTTTTAAATGTCGTATCGGTTTAATAATAATGCTGGATTTATACGAGTGTCGCAGTGTACTTAAATTCTGTGGAGTCCCCCTATTCTAAGGAAAAAATAGAAGTAAATAAAACTGTTCACATTTGACCGTGCTGATTTGCTGCATTACATTTATTTTGGTTTGGTTTCTGATGTCACGTTTATTTCTTGGTGTACATCAATAGCTGATGGTGCAATTTTAGCACGTAATAAAATTTCACCTGTAGACGTGAGAGCCCTGAGATGGATTGGCACCCGGTGACGTGGGACTACCCAGTAGAAGGTCATGAGTTCAAACCCCAGCGCTACCAAGATGCCACTGATGAATGTAAATCACTCTGGATAAATGGGTCTGCCAGATGCCATCAATTTTAATATGCACTGTCATTGGCCATTGGCTTGGAACATTATATACTTCTGTTACGGCGCTCTTCGAGGACATGGAAGAAGTCTTCTTTTTAGACCCTTCTCCACAGCCGGCAGGAAGCAGTGGGTACAGCTGAGGTCATGCCAGTCATGCTCTCGGGGAGGAACGCAGCCCCATGTGTATGGAAGAGTTCAGCGGGAGAGCGGGTTGGCAAGGGAGGTGGGGTGCTTCTCCTTCTCTTACATAAGCTCAGAACAGGCTCATCCTGTCCATTCCCCTCTACTTGTCTTTCCATTGGGGGGGGGAACCCCCTGATAGACAAGGCTCCCATTCGACATCTTGTCTTTGTTACTACGAGATGCAGTGTCTGCGGTGCTTTGGATGCTGTCGGAGGCTCCTGATCTGTGAGAATTCCATTGCAGTGGTGTAATGGTGATGCCCCCCTTTCCTCTCCCTGCCTTCCTGCTATGTCGTTCCACACCATGCAATCTATAGACACGAACAAGGCTTGCGTCAGACTACTTTACACACGGTAGAGATTTCCACCCTGCCGCTGGCATTTGTTCTCTTGTGCTTCAGTTTTTTCATGATTAAAGGGGGCAGTGGTGGCTGGCGGTTAAGGCTCTGGGTTACTGATCTTAAGGTTGTGGGTTCAAGCCCCAGCACTGCCAAGCTGCCTGTATTGGGCTCTTGCGCAAGGCCTTTAACCCTCTCTGCTCCGTGGGCACTGTATCATGGCTGACCCTGCGCATTGACCCCAACTTCCTGACATGCGAAGAAAAGAATTTCACTCTGCTGTAATGTATATGTGATCAATAAAGACTCGCTATCACTAGTAGAAGCATGCAGTGTGTAAATCCACATTTTTGACTTTGTATGACCTCCGGGAGCACCGTTTATTCACGTAAATGATTCTGCGATATGTTTTTATCAAGGAAATCGTGATCAGATCTGCTGTGGTGAGATGTTTTGCATAAACGTGATTGTCATTTGCACAGGAAACTTTGTGTCGAGTTCAAATTTGGTGAACTTGTGTGAATTTGCATCATCAACCAGTAGCACTACTACTTTGGCAGCATTGACCTGTAACACAGCACAAAGTTTAAAAAAGTACAATAAGAAGAAATGCTAATTGGTAAGGTAGCTAAAAATCTGACAAATCTTCTCCAGTGTTTCTTCACTACAATTTTGCCAGACAAAGCTGAAATGCTAAGTGATGGCCAAATTTCCAGCTGTACCAGAATGGACATTCTTAGTCACCAGTCTTAATTTTGGCAGCGGTTGTTTTTCAAGAAAGACTGCAAATTTTACTGCATGTTTACGGTGTTTTGTACTCGGGCCATCACACAGTGAAACGAACTACGCATCTGCCTCGGCTCAGAGTTACTACTACGTTATGCTGCTCCGCATTCCCATACCGATGATATCATCCCCCTGCTTCCACTGCTTATCTTCAGAGTGCATTTGTCTGTCTGACATAGGCGGCTCCTCTGGGACAGACTCATGAATCAGCTCCTCGCTACTTGTTAAGGCTTGCGCCGTGCATGCCTACTACCTTATGGGCAGGAGCTCATGCGTACAGAGCGCTGCAGCATGTCCTAGCATTACCAGAGGGTGTGTCTGTTCTTTTTTTGGTTGGTCATTTTGTATTCCCTGTGCGTTTAGTCCAGTAAAAGCAGGTCCTAGATGAGCATTATAGAGTAATGATGGGGCCTTGTCTGCATTCTGCGCAAAACATGCTGGCAGTCCACCAGCCTCTCCATTAGAGAGAGGAAGCGAGGGAGAAATGACACCGTTAAAGGGCGTCTTCTTGTAATCACTTTAATAAAGATTTAAGAGCACACAAGAAACGTTCCATGAAAGTACTTTATGCACACAGATTTCCTAGGCAAGGACTTTGTTAATGTTTAGGTGTTTTGGCATTGTTGGCACCGCTTGCTTGCTTGCTGGATCTAGTTACAAGTAGGTTGGCAGGATTTATTTTTTTTTCTTCTAGAATTTGAGTCTGGTTTCACAGAGTTTGCATTAGTGGAAGTTCAGTCAGTTTACATGGCCAGTGGTGTTCTTGCTTTTGGGTTTGAAATCAGTTCAACCTCTGTTTCGCAACAGAAATGATCAATAATCAATATCCATTCATTTTCCATACTGCTTATCCTACACGTGGTCCTACACAGGGAGCCCAGAGCTTATCCCCGGGGGACTTGGCGCATGAGATACCCTGGACGGAGGGTGAGTCATTGCATGGCACAGTCGCACACACTCGCACACCCATCACAAAACCTGAGCAGTACGTATATCTATGGTAGACATGTTCAAACGTTTTCCCCACATGAGGCCCAATTATTATTGTGAGGAGGGGAAGTTAACGTAAGCGAATTCAATGCACCTACACATTTGTCAACCATTCCAGCTTCAAATGTTGATTTTTTTTATTAGTACTCGAGTATATGATCGAGTATTAACTTCTTGCTCACTCCCATGTTAAAATACGGTGCTCCTGCACAAAACAAGTCTCATACAGTTTAAATTTATTGATCTTTCCCATCTCACCCCTCATCTGCACCATCGCCGCAAGTTTTTTGGGTGTGCCACACAGTTTAAAGACCTTTTGATCTATAAAAAAAAATAACAATGGAGGTAGTATAGTATAGTTTGTTAACGTATTGTCATTGTTCTGCTGGCCACCGGGGGTGCTATTTCTTCCTAGTGCCTGGACCCCGTCCATCGTCTGTCGCAGTTATGTTTGTCATTGATAATGTAGTTTGCGTTTCTTTTTGGAGTGATACGTAATCTGCGATGTCGGTATCGCAAAGGCCAATATGGCAATAATGATTAACAAAGGTCTGATTTTCTGCTCTGATTTTAACGAATTGTACAGAGAAGATCTTCGCAGAATGGCTATATTTCTTTGAGCTAAATTTAGGCATTCAGTTTCAGCTAGCTGTGTCACATAGCAACAAAGCACCATTACATCTTACAGAAGCAACCTGATCTTAAATACTATGATGGTAAACGGTAGTCATACTTCTCTTCTGAGAACCTATCCCGTCTTAATAAGAGGACTTTTTTTTTAAGCTAATAGGTTTTGTTGTGTAGTGCTGACACTTACTGAATGGCCTGAGGGCTTGATCACTATTTAACCTGTCGTCCCTGTTCTTAAACAGAAAAGAGATCCTTTCATAATGGCCAAGAGCTCCCCCTCCTCAACTTGAGGGTTGCCTGGCAACAAGCTCAGTGGGAAAGGTTAAAGGTCACTGTTTAGAAATAGCCACAGCTTGTAACCCTTCTAATGTGGGAGTAACCAGATCTAAGCTTTAGATTTATGTTTATAACACATCTCGTAAACTGTTATGTACCATATGGATTTTAATACATTTTAAAAAGTTGGGGGTTTTTTTTGGCACGTGATATTACAAGGAACAATTAATCCTGTAATGCACAATAGTTTAAAACTCTGGCATATTTGCGTCAGTGTCAGTGATTCAAAAGCTTTTCTTCTCTGCTTTTTGGAATCATCTCCATAGTGTGCCTCCATCTCTCACTCTCTCTCTCTCACTCACACACACACACACACACACACAAGGCGGTTGACTAGGAGGTACAGTCCACTTTTTTTTGTTTTGTCCCAGTTTCCAGCACACCTAAATCAGGTATTCAGTGATGTCTAGCTTTGATGTGGTGTCGTTGGGTATGTTTTTCCACTGTAATTAAATTTCCCTCTTTTCCGTGACGACAGATTTGCATTTGTCAGGTGTAATGTAGTGAAATAAGAACACAGGTGTTTCATAGGCCCTGCCCATGTATACAGAGATCTTTTTTGACCTTCTGTCCACACAAAAACAGCATTTTGGTTCACTGAAGAGGAATTTGAAAAAAATATATAAAATAATTTTGAGGAATTTAAAACTCCATTTCCACGTGGAAGTGTAGCGTCTATAGCCGGGGCCGTAGTGATGGGCAGGAACACGATCAGTCACTGTCTTTTTAATCAACCAAGCATCCTCTGGTTTGTGCAATTAACGTTTCCACTGTAAGCTCACAGATGACATGACGTGTGTGTGTGTGTGTGTGTGTTTTTTTTGGGGATGCAGAAATGGTGGAGTCCATGAAGAGCGTCGCAGGGAAGGACGTGGAACTGACGGTGGAGGAAAGGAATCTGCTGTCCGTGGCCTATAAGAACGTCATCGGTGCACGGAGAGCTTCATGGAGGATAATCAGCAGCATCGAACAGAAGGAGGAGAGCAAAGGTGGAGAAGACAAACTCAAAATGATCCGCGAATACAGGCAAACGGTGAGGACGTGTCATGGAGGCTTTAAAACCGTTCAAAGCTGAGGCAGTACTCTGTATGTGTTCGTTGTATGTGTTTACAATCGTTTCATCCCGACGTGTGCACGTTATGCAGTCCTTTATGTTGCTCTGTGTTGCGTTTCGTATAAGAATTCTTTCAAAATACTCACATCTAGTAGGCGTCTTGTGCTTTCACACTGAACAGTATTTTCACAAGTGGGTTCTCACAACACCCCCCACCCCGTTTTGCGTCCCATCCGCAAAATGGGAAAACGACCACGGAGGACACGTGTTCCGCTGAAAATGTTCTCGAGCGAATATAAGGAAACCTATGACGCCGCTGCCTCTAAAATACTTCATAGTCAATATTCCAGCATTGCCATAAAGCTAAAAATAAGAACTTTGGCTGTTTTTCTTTTCCACGATGTGGCGTCCGACTTTAACGGGACACAATCGCACGAGGAACTTGAATTCTCTTTATCTTCTGTCTCAAAAGCTACATCATGTTAAATCCAGTTACTCTTAATTACGCGATGATAAATGTAACGTAGATCGCATGCTAGGCCGGTGAGTTAGCCAGCACTAATATGACTGGTAATGTTGCTATGGTTACAGTTTGCATGTTGCGTGAGCCTTTCACCTTCCTTCTCCATATTAGCACTGAAGCATCTCCAGCTGGTGCTTTTTTTTTCTTTTTTTTCCCCCTTTTCTGTGGAAACAAACAAGTGTGAAAGCACCCTTGGGTTATTGACCCTCTTATTTTTCTTTTAAGGTCATAGAAACCAGATGTTCCACGCATTTCTTGCGCAGGACGGATTTGCGCAGGACGGTGTTGTTTTCAACCCGCGCGGCCTTTCCATGATGATAACATTAGCCTAATCTATTAGTAAGAAAACGGTACAGGCTGGCGTATATCCTTTCCTTGATTCTAACCACCTGTGAGTTGTGTTTTTTAAGCGGTCGCGTAATACCATGACTGATTCGATCGTAAAGCCCCTTGTGTCGGCTTATCTACTCTTCATATAAAACACTTGTTGTGTTTCCTTTGTAGGTGGAGAAAGAGCTGAAATCAATCTGTAACGACATTCTGGATGTACTGGACAAACACCTCATTCCTTCAGCCAACACGGGCGAGTCAAAGGTTTTCTATTACAAAATGTACGTTCACATTCGTACTACAAACCGTTTTGTTTTATTTCCGCCTGTACTGTCGGGTAACACAGGGCTTGGCGGTATGATGAAGTAATAAACAATACACTTTCCTGAGATATCACAAATATCATCTGTCTTTCTCTAAAAAAAAAAAAAAATTTCTTGTGAGAAATATAGCTGGGGTATCTTCTCTATATCACCCGCCTCTAGGCCTCAGGGTCGGCACTTTTA